AGGGAAACCCAGCTTTATTTTGTGTCATTTCTCCCAGGGGGGTGTGGCTGCCAGAACTTCGGTTTTCCAAGTCCTTCGTTTTTTAAAAAGATGATTATTTGTTTATTCATATCCCGACTTTATTAATTTTGCAAATAACTCAAGGTAGCAAAGATATCCAACCCTCTTTCTTATTATATGGTTCAAACATATGTGTGTGTGTGTGTGTGTGTGTATGTGTGTGTGTGTGTATATATGTATATATATATATATATACATATATACATACACATACATACATACACACACACACACACACACACATATGTTTGAACCATATAATAAGAAAGAGGGTTGGATATCTTTGCTACCTTGAGTTATTTGCAAAATTAATAAAGTCGGGATATGAATAAACAAATAATCATCTTTTTAAAAAACGAAGGACTTGGAAAACCGAAGTTCTGGCAGCCACAACCCCCTGGGTGAAACGAAACAAAATTAAGCTGGGTTTCACAGATGCAGATGTGTGAAAGAAACATCTGCCACCTTCCTCACTTTTTAAAGGGGAAACGGGTTATAAAGAAAGAAAAAAAGTCGGGGACTTTTCAAAAAGGAAGTTGAAAGGAAAAGTCGGCTGGGCTCGAGGTTACTCACAGTTGCTTGGAAAACCGAGCTAAAAAGCATCCCGTAATTTATCGAAAAAGTTGACCCTCCCAAATCACGATGAATCAAAGATACAAGGGTAGCAATTCCCAAAACAAAAATTAAAAGGCGGAGTGAGAAAGGAAACGAAGAAAAACAAAGGGAATGCAATCTATTTTGCATAAAAGAAATACATTTGGATAAAATGAAAAGATAATTCAATTAATTCAAAAATCAGTAATAACCGGTAATTCCGTTCATTATTATTCAGTAATAATTTAGTTAACCGTTTACTAATAATTAAGCAGCAGTTTAGTTAATTATTAAGGAACGGTTTATTATTAACACCTTGTTTAATCATTAATTAATTAATCATTCGTTATCGATAAGCGATTATGAATTGAGGTGCTTATTGGTTGATGATTTCAATGTTATTCATTATGATTTCATTGAATATTGGTGGATAACTTCATTGAACCGTTCCACAGAGTGCTGTTAACTAATAATTTAGTTGGATAGGATTCATTATTTAATTTTTAATTAAAAGCTTTCAAACTTTAGTGCGCTGGGAGCCTCAGGAGGGGGAAAATGGATTTTATTGTTTTATTGGTGAACCCCAAAACATCATTTAAGTGGAATGCTGAAGGCACGCCCAGTGAACTGAACATGGATTGAATCTTGATTTTTACAGATTGTTCCAGGTTTCCGGTTATTTTCACTTGATTTTCTGTGCTCAAAACATATATATACTATTTTTACACTTCGCAGCAGATTAACTCAAATTTTGTGGTTTCGTAGAGCGTTTCTGCTGAAAGAGAGCAACGTGGTTCTCATCATGTTTTTCAGTCGCCAGCAAATGTTTTCCCAAAATCAAATTGCGCCATGACTGGATTCCCCAGAAAGAAGAAGAAGAAGAAAAAACGAGAACTGTGTTTTAAAGCAGAAATATAATTTCCTCAGAGGCTTTGGGAAGGAGGTTCAATTCCCCTGCGACCCCAAATTTGCTCTGAATGTATGCACCCTGGTTTTGTTTATATTACTTTCGACTCCTGGAAATAGCGATGTGTGACAGGCGTAAGGGCGAGGACTGGTTATAAGTCCCTGTTTCCAGTGCCGTTGTAACTTTGAATGTTGGTTAAATGACGGTTCGTAAGACGAGGGCTTGTTGTTGTTGTTAGTTGCGAAGTTGTGTCTGACTCATCGCGACCCCATGGACCACGTTCCTCCAAACCTTCCTGTCCTCTACCATCCTCTGGAGTCCATTGAAGCTCAGGCCGGCTGCTTCGGTGACTCCATCCAGCCACCTCTTTCTCTGCCGTCCCCTTCTTCTTCTTTTGCCCTCCATCGTTCCCAGCATGAGGCTCTTCTCCAGGGAGTCCTTCTTCCTTCTCATCAGATGGCCAAAGCCTTTGAGATAGAGAGATAGAGAGATAGAGAGATAGAGAGATAGAGAGATAGAGAGATAGAGAG